CCCCCCCCCCCCACACCCCAAAGGACCGGAAGCGATGGCTGCCACGAAGCTTCAATTTCCCCCAGCGCTCTGCAGTTGAGGGAGGGGGAGGGGGCTGCACTTCCCAGCCCCCCCCTTGGGTGGGGGCTAGAACCCCTCCCTCCCCTTTGCATAAACCACAGGGGGGAGGACCCTCCCCCAGCTGGGCTCTTGACTGCTGGAGGGGGGGCGAGGGTCTTGCCTGGCTCCCCGGAGCTGCGTGGGGAGGCCTCTTTTCTGGGGGTGGGGGGGCAGGAAGGCTCCTTCTCTCCCCCCCCCCCTTGCAGATTGGGAAGCCCTGCCCTGCTTCCCCTCCCCCACCCCCTTTTTGGCAGCCCCCCTCCTCCCCCCATCATGGTTCTCCAGTTTCTTTCGAGGGGAGTCCCCTCCCTCGCCCGGCTTAGCACTTTGACTGTATCGGCCCTCATCTATGCAAGGGGTACGGCCTGGGGGGGGGCTTGGGGGGGAGGGGCAGAGGAGCCCACCGCCCCACCTCCTGGGGTGTGCCCAGGGGCTGAGCTCCCCTCCCCCCACCCGCTGAAAGGGGAGGGGGCTGCCCTGACTGGGGCCGGATAGGAAGCCCCCTCCCTGCCTTTCCTCCTCCCCGTCGCTCTGAGCACCAGCTTTGCAAGGAGGCCTGAGAGGGGGGGAGGGGGTTGGACGGGGAGGGGGTGTCCCTCAGTCTCTCCCCTCCCCCGCCCACAGGCCCATATGCGTCTTGCCGCTTCCTTCCCCACCCCCCCTTTATGAGAAGATGCCCCTTCCCCCGCCAACAACCACCAGCCGGCCTCATCACACTCGTTCTCCCCAAAGGGCAAATCCTTTGCCCCCCCCCCGGCCGGCCCCCCCCCTTCCCGCTTTCTGTTTCCCCCCCTTCCCCCCCCCCCCAATTTTAATTGATTTGGGCGTCCGGGGCCCCCTCCCTCTTCGCTCTTCCCCCTGAATCAGGAATGCGGAACTTCTGAGCGTGTGCAGAGCGTCGGGCGACGTCGCCAGGGTGCTGCCCGGCTATCGCGCAAGAGACGGACCTCGGCCTTTTTGAGGGGGGGGAGGGGGGGAAAGAGCATGGAACTCTTGTGGGGGTGCCCCGCCCCCCTTTCAGGTGACGTGGACGGGGCTGCCCCCCCCCACAGCAGCCCGGACAACGGCGGCGGCCACAGGCGGCTGGACGTGGCGGTTGCGGCTTCCCCAGCCCAGGGGAGACCCCCCCACTCCACCCCCCGGCCTTTCCACCGCCTGCAAACCGGATCCTCGGGACGTCCGACGGCCGCCTCTCTGCCACACAAACGGACTCAAGTTTCATTGGTTTGGAATCCTAGTTAGGTTTCTCTCTGGCTTGTGCTTGACCTGGTTACGAAAACACAGCTGTTGTGTTTGCATCCTCCATACCACGCCAATAAACCATGTATTGTGGTTTCAAGGTAGCAAGTCTGGTTTCTCGGCTGGGTGCAAAGATTTCCCCCTCCCCCCCCGCGGTCGATCCCCCCCCCCCCCCCCACCGTCTCAGAAAGCTGAGTCGTCCCCCACAGTCAGGAGGAGGAGGAGGAGGAACCAGAGTTCTCCCTGCAGTTCTTCTTTCGGCCACTGGGGGGTGCAGCTGGCTGATCCCTCCCCCCCATTCTCAGAAAGCTGAGTCCCCCTCAGTCAGGAGGAGGAGGAGCCAGAGTTGTTCTCCCTGCAGTTCTTCTTTCAGCCACTGGGGGGTGCAGCTGGCCGATCCCCTCCCCCTTCTCAGAAAGCTGAGTCCCCCTCAGTCAGGAGGAGGAGGAGCCAGAGTTCTCCCTGCATTTCTTCTTTCGACCACTGGGGGGTGCAGCTGGCCGCTTTGCTTACTTTTCCCCACTGCGCCTATGGGGCAGGCCCCCCCTCTTCTCCCTTCCCACCGGACTGGCCCCTACTTCCTCCTGGTTCTGCGATGCTGGAATTGGGGTGGAGGCCAATTCTAGGAGGGGGGCTCCCTTCCTGTTGGGGCGGGCAGCGGGGGGGCTCCAAGGATTCAGGGTGGTGGTGGGGGGTGCCCTTCCAACACCCCCCCCCC